GATACCAGGTGTTCTAGTGCCATTTGCTGAAAACACTATCTCTTCCTTGGCTCTTGAATTGAGTTTATATTCTATAAAATGCTAATGCCATCTCTTTTTAAAGCCCAACAAGAAACTGACCACTGAGTAGATCAGTGCAAAAGCTTCTTAGATTCTTTTCCTCGTGATTCTGTAACACATCTAACAACCAACAGCAATATTTCTTAAGCTCAATTTTGATCATATCACTCTAATATTCAGATCATCATTCTACCAAACATAATGAATTCAAACTCCAATTTGTATTAGGAGCCATACTGTTCTGTCAGCATCAATAAATATTTTTAGCACCCAGTCTTGGTTCACAGACACTACTGCAACCACTGAGAACCATTGCTTTGGACTCTGTTTCTTCCCTATCTTTAAGCTTTCTCTACCTTCACATGTCTTTAGAAGGCTTTGCCATGAACATGGGGTTTAAAATTCACTTCTAAGGGCTAGCCCTACTAGTTGGCATCTAGTTCCTAGGACTACTCATGTCAGACGCCTTTCCAAATACAGTAAGTTTTACTGACTAGAGAGCTGTGTATAATTTCTCTATTCAGTATCTGTTCATATTTCCAAGTTGTCCGTAAAACTTTTCACAGAAAGTACGGGTTTTGAGCTCTCTCTCTCAGATTCGACTTGTCATCCCATTTTTCTCAGACTTGGGTGTATTGTGCTACTTTGCCAATCCTTCTCTCACCCAGCCTTGACTCCCTAGCATCTCCTGCATTGTTAGCCACTGACGTTGGCCTTAGGACTAGACTCAAGTGAAATCCAGTTCTCTCTCCACATTAGGGAAGTAGAGAGGGCAGCCAGGAAGTGGAGAAACCTTGAAAAAAAAACTTTTTTAGGACAAAGAATGTGCAAATTATCTACCTAAAATTTTATTGGAACATCCTTGTTTGCTAAACACTTAATGAACAACTACTATGTGTCATTTATCACTTAGCTACCTAAAACATGAAAAGAAAGAGTATGACTATAAAATTATAAAGTACGTTGAAGTGTTTCTCATTGGCCAGAATATTTTTAGATAACAGAAGCTTAGGAAAATTTCAGCATATATTACAATTCATGTTTATATTTACTGAAAGTCAAATGGCTATCATGTGTATGTAAGTTCTTTTTATTTAACTTAAGGAAAACCATGAAAAAGGAAATAAAAAGAAAATACCTTTTCTTGGAAAATAATATATTCAGTTTTTTAACAAGAGCAAAAATTGTATTTTCTTATTGTTGAAGTCTTCAAAGATAGTTTTTCATAGTTATTTCAGTCTACTTTGTAATATATTTTTGATTTAAAATACACAAATAAATAATTTTTTTCAGCCAAGATCACGTCTTATTTTTAGGGTGAATTTTGTAGTGAGTTATTTTAATGATACCATCATGAGAATCCTCCCCAAATTAATTTTTAAATTAATGATAGAAATCCAAACTTGCCTCATCATCTGTTTTCATGTGAACAACACAATCCAAAATAAGCAATAGGTCAAGATGAAAGTTTTGTTTATGTTTGTTTTTGTAGTCATTGGGACTTTGGTCCTGGAGACAGAACCCAGGGCCTTGCATGGGCTAAGCATGAGCTCTACCACTAAGCTATATCTCCAGCCTCCAAGATCGAAGTTTTAACTCAGGGAACACAGATTGACATAATTAAGTTGATGTGAACTGTGTGCATTGTAATATTTGAAATCAATAAGCTACGGTTACCTCAGGGCTATGGTTTACAACTTATTTTTAAGCAGGACAGCCTTTGTCACAGGAAAAAATTTTCTGTGGAACTCTAGTATATAAAATACAGTATATGAAAGAAACTCCAGCAAGACTGAGAGTTCCAGTCATCAGTCTATACTCTTTCAGAAATTTTCCTGCCTTCTCTACTTCACTGTCCTCCAACAGCCCTAAAGGCAGTGGCGAGAAACAAAGAGAGAGGCCTGTTGTTTACTACACAACAACCACAGCCCTTGAGTGATCAGGAAGGTGACAACTGTGGGCTCATTTAAAAACTTTCAGATTTAAAAGACCTTAGAAAGCTAAAAAGGAGCTCTGTTTTCACTCACTTTTGAAAGGCTTTCAATTTTAAGCATACTAAGCTTATTTAGAAGTATATATTCAATTTTGTATAATGCAAAGTTCCTGAGGGGCTTATATATACTTTGATTTAAAAATAGTCGTGGGCACTAACTTAACCAGTTCTTGCATGCTACAGGAAAATGCTCAAAGTCACTTGTGTGATATATGACTGTTTAGTTGTTTGTACTAAGCACAAAGAAAAGCCAATGATAAAAATGATGCTACATTGGCTTCCTTGGGAGGATTCAGATGTCTGATTAGAATTAGGCTTCTGTGCTACTGGGACTACCACCTAAGAAGCCAAGTGCTAGAAAAAGAAAAAAATCTTTACTTAGGATAGCAGAACAAATTTCTAATCCTAGAAGGAGATTTGGGGAAGATGCAGGAGATAAAAAATTCGAGTTCAGTGTTGTTTAACAAAAATATCATATGAAACATATATGTAATTTTTAATTCTCTAGTAGCCACATTAAAATAAGTAAAAATAAATAGGTTGATTTTAATAGTATCTTATTAAACCAATACACTTAAAATATCATTTCACCATGAAATCAATATTAAATTATTAATGAGATAAATCTTTTACTAAAACTTTAAAATTTGGTGTGTATTTTTCCCTTATACCACAACTCTACTCAGACTAACTGCATATTAAGGGCTCAATGACCACTGTTGGCTTGAAAAACTGAGTCACTTTGCAGGAGAAAATACAACATGGATAACAGCCTTAGTAAAACGAAATAGCTGAAAGTAACTAAAAACAATTTTTTGAAATTCTGAGTGGTCTTGTACTACTGAGACTGAAACACACACACACACACACACACACACACACACAGAAAGTTCAAAATAGTCTTTAGTGATATATGCAGAAACCTGTAATGGGAAAACTGATTATTTTTTTGAAATGTTCAAAAGTACTAGCACAATGAAAAAATAGGAATTTACCAAAGATAGCAAAAATCTTTTCTTCAAAAAATATATTAAGAAGTAAGGTGTTTGTTTATGGGGATGATTGAGATGATATTGAGATGATTTAGATTGGTACCATAATTTCCTGATCTTTTTGGCTCTCTTTTCTCTCCCTTCTATTGAAGATGATTTTCAGAGAGGGACATTCTTTTTGAAACTCTAGCATGAAACCTTATGGACCAACAACATTTCAACAGCCTCAAAATTACATTTCAATAAGTAATCATGTTTTCTTTATCCAGTTCCTTAAGACATACTATGAAACATTTCCTCTTTTTAAAAAGTTTGAAATAAATTAATCAATAAAAAATAAAAATAAACTCAATTATGTTGGTCAGTGATCATCTTCATTTGCCTTCTTTCATGTCCTTTGTGTTTTTAAAATTATGGTTGTTAAATTTCATAGATTGTCATTACTTCCAAGAGAAAAAGAGAATAGGAATAGAGAAAAAAGGAGATTAGAAATAACATTTGTGGGAAATAAAAGTTTGGTGAAAAAGTAGTATGCAACTATGGTATAATCTCATATACTATATAATTTAAAGTTATTTTATATGTATTATTATGAAATATCAGTCAGTGGATTTTACATATTCAACATGGCATACATATTTCTTTACACAGAAACCACTTTACATCAACTTTACCTTTTCATATTAGTTTCGAGCCCGGGGAGGTTGGTAAAACTGCTGGGTTGGCCGAGTAGATCGTCTTGGCTGGCCATCACCTCCTCTACGGAACTCAAGAGTTTGGTCATAGGTGCCTTCTTCTTCCTGTTTGCAAAAAGCAATGATTCAACATGTTCAAAATTGCTCCAAGTTTCCTAAATATACTTTATGGCTCCTATTTTAACATGCCCTCTTAAGCTGCCCTGGCATTCACATGTGTCAACTTTTGAAAACTCAGGCTGGCAAGGGAAAGGAAAAAAAGGCAGGGATAGTGTCAAAATACTTTTGGTCCTTGGTAATGGAATATAATTCATAATGGTAACATTAGAATCACATTTAATTCTAGAAAGGAAACAAATTCCAAATAATAGCATGACTGTCTCATCAAATGACTTGACATAATATGGTAAAAACAAAATAAACAAAATACTATTACAACTATTTTCTTGCATATTTGGGCATCTAAATATTTTTAATATATTTATCATGGAAAGGACTCTTGATAAGACATGGAAAAACGGATTGAAGAGCCAGCCACAGAATGTTCACCAAATGTCTGTCCTCAACTGGTGGAATCAGTTGAGGAATCTTATATCTAGAATATATCTAGATATATCTTATATCTAGAGACAGAGAAAAATAATGCATTGGAATGGGGAGAGATTCACATATACAGAAAGCTTCATGCATGACAGATTATTACAGTAAAACTAAAACTATTTGAGTCTCATTTTCTTTCATATTGAGGGTATAGATCTACCAGCTTAAGGAATAGCATGGGGAAATTAGGATAAGCAGATTAAAGAGCAGAGAGTATAGTTAATTATATTTGAAAAGGACTTAAAAGCAACAAAATGCAGCCAAAAGACAAACTGGTTTCTTACTGAGTGCTGCCACTACTATTTTAGTGCTTTTTGAAATAATTCAGCTATGAAATATGTGCTCTATGAGAGATGGGAAAAGTTGGCTGAGTTTCACTTATGAAAGAGAACATCTATTTCTCTAAGCAGAGAGCTTAACATTCAACTAAATTAGAGCACAATAACTTGCATGATTTTGGAAATTTGTTCTCTTTCTCCCTCTCCCTTTATTTTTGAGCCCTCTTTCCTAAAAATTATTTTCCTCTGACCCTATTAATACAGGAAATTATATGAGAAACTAAGTTTATTTTTACAGATCCAACTACTGTAATTTTATCTAATGAAAACAGAAAGATGCTAAGATGATTTGAACAAATCATTATTTAGCAATGATATTTAATGATATTTGGCAAAAACATAACTCTCTTTATTAGAGATCCTCTACACTATTGTTAAGAAATAAGTATTTCCACTCCTCTACACTATTAAGAAAGAAGTATTTCTACTTTATATAAAGGATTCTGGAAAGGAAAGAAGGGAATGGAATTAATATGAGAAAATGAAAAAATGGAAACAAAATCTTTGTAAATAGGGAGGGGTTGAAGGGAGGGCAGGGGAAGGGGGAAAAATAAGAACCAAGAGAGATTATGTAAAGGTGCAAATTTCCAATGATGAATGTCATTATATTGTATACCTAAAATGTACCAATAAAATAATATTAAAAAAAAAAGATTCTGGAGTCCAGGAAAGCTTTGAGACTGCCCTAATACTTCTAAGACAAATTGGGGTTTTGAAACACAGCTGTTTAAATCTTTAAGTCTCAGTCTAAATGTAAAAGCAATAGGCTAACTTTCAAAAAATAATGATCATCTTTCTAGGACTATCATTCCTGAAATAAGAGACTGGAGAAATCTGACAATATATCTGATAAATTCAATAGCCATCTTTTAGAAGCAAACTTCCAGATAGGCTCTTTCTCAAGACCCCTTTCATTAACAATCAATCTTAAAATGGTGAGAAGCATCAAGTATTATATTTGTAACTTAGCAAAGCAATGTATGAAGAAAAATAAAAAGCATTCATAAAAGGTGAAAGTTTATTATGGTCACAATTCTAAATGATGATTGTCAAACACTGTAGCTAAATTTGAAAATGAGGTATTTAATTTTGTGTCAAATACCATTTAAAGCTTTGTATATTAACTGAAAAGGATGAAAATATACAGTGTTTGGCACTGTAGGTGGGGATGTAATTATTTCATGAATTAGAAATTTTTTCTCACACCCAAAACTGGCTGAAAAACATCTAAAAATCTGTACTTTATAGCTAAAATACAGTTAGAGATAGGATACTGAATTTGCTGAGCGAGCTGGATTTATACAATAAAAATAACACTGTTATTTGAAAAGCTGTCTCTTCTTTGTTAAAAGATCCAGACTGTACTAACCAGAGCCAATTAGTTTTATAGAAATGACCAACCAAGAGATTTCTTTCCATAACTTGACGTCTGCCCCATTTTTTTATACAAAGTGGGAGCCAACAAAATAAATAAAAACGATTGACAGTTTGTTTTTCAATTATTGTCAAAGCCAAAATTTTTACTTTAAATTTTTAAGTCCCTTCTGCAGAGCTGGGGTCAAATCTGGTTACCCACAATTTCTTCCTTTAGGTTTCAGTATTCTGTAACAGACTGAAAACTCAACAAAAAAAAAGTTTTCTAGCTCATGTGCATGTTTTCAAAAATCTGACACTACACTGGAGCTCACACAATCCTGAAAGGCCATCTAATTCATTCTATAGATTTGATGGACCAATCTATAAATCTGAAGAGATGAGGTGATTTTCCAAGACACAGAGCTCAGGAGAGGAAGAACTGAGACTCAGGCCATTTTATTTCTGACTTCTGGGCAAGGTTCTTCATACAGCTTATAATAACTTCCATAAAAGGGAACTGTATAATGCCATCTTCATCTAACCTTTTGGGACTTTCATCTGAACTCAGATTTTTGCTCACTTTAGCCATATCATCAGATAAAACCTGTTTATAAAAACTAAACAGATGAGGCCTCTGTTCACAGAATATTTCTTTCTGTGCTTTGGCCCCAGGGTTTAAATGCCTTTTTCTGAAGGTAAGGGTTGTCTATATGTTGACAATACTTACAATGATTTCCTCTACTTTAGTTGTATGTTTTTATTTACTTAAACTAATGAATCTACTTATTTTAAATTACCATTCCTTCAGCATTATCCCACAATCATGACTATGAGGAGACAATGGTACGCACGAGTGGGAAGGGGAGATGCTAATTCCCTTCATTGAAAATTTTTTTTAAAGTAATACCTGTCCTTTAATAGCTATTTTTGTGATCACATATTTTTTCTAGTTTGTTCTTTTTAACAAGTTGTAAAGCAGTCACAAAACATAAACCAGCATATGAAATTCAGTGTACTCTCAATAATCATCCTTGAAATTTAGAATATTCTGAACAATAAAATGTTAATGAGTACATATCTCCTCCAGTGACTCATATATGAACCAGTTATTCTATGTGCTTCCAAGCCACAGTTTGGCTGCCTGGTTAACTTATGTTTATGGAAACAGAACAAATTTTAATATAAAACCTAAGCAAACTATCACTGAAGGATAAGGAATATAGACATCATCAATTTCAGAACTAGAAATGGAAGGTAATCTAATGGAGCAGATTTATATTTTATTATTTTACTATTCTGGAAGTAAATGTGGCATGCTTCACTGAAATAAATTTTTGAAGTTTATTATATAATAATATCAATATAAGATAGATGGGACACAGGTTAAAGTGGGTGTTTTCATATGTGCGTGAGCAGTATCCTTTGGCTTTCTCTTCCTCAGTGCCACCAAGCTTTGAAACATCCAACATACAAAAACTAAAAGCCTAATTCAACCTCTGCTATATACTGGGAGACAACTGGGTAAGGCACTTGTTAAGAAGGTGAGCTAGTAAAAAAACAGGAGCTGGAATGTAAGCCTTCCAATTCTGAGTTAAGAGGCCTTTCTTCTTTGCCTTCCATTACAGAGCAATCTACATCCTACTCTTGACATCTATAAATTAATGTTTCATTTGATAACTCACCTTATAAACCTAAATGGGAAAAAAAATTTCAAGCTTAAGTGTATAAGAAATATATAGCCAAACAGCAAATTTTATGCTAAGACAGTTTTTGAAATTGAGTAAAATAAATTCCATTTTAGAAGAAAATAAATGGAGAATTAGTCTCCCTTCCTCCTAGAGCACATCTAAGATAATCTCTTTTTATTCACCATGACTGCAACATTTTATTTAGACTACTTTATAGCAGAAAATTTTAAAAATCACTAGGGAAGACAAAGAAAAATCAGATTCAAAAATTACCGAAGAACTGTTCCAAAATGCATAGCTGATATAATGTAATGTTTTCATACTGTATATTAAAGAATTTCAAGAGAATGATGGGATATTTTACCAAAGTTCTGATCTTTTGAAGACTATTATTTTCTAAATCACATTAAAATTAAAATGTTGATTTTAAAGGGTATTAGGAAATGATCTGAATTCTAGCTCAGGGGTTTAATTCTATGCTCTGTCAGCCAAAACACAATCTAAATAAGACAACTAAACTTTAACATAGAAGGAAAAACTGAATTTTAAAATGACAGTAAAAGTAAGTAATATCATTGTTCTTACTCTAACATCAGTAAGATCCTTTAATTCTTGAAACAGAAAATAAAGGAATGAATGTTTATTCTATTATATGCCTGGCTTTACATGTTCTCTCATTCAATCTTTGCAGTAATGCCTTGAATTATTTAGTATTATTGTTTGCAGTCCTGGGGATCAAATGCAAAGGTCTTGCCCATGTTAGGCAAGTGCTCTATCACTGAGTTATAACCCTAACCCTAATCTAACCATTTTACAGATGTAGAAAGTAAGGCTCAGAATAATTCACTGAAAATTCTATAAGCGACCATTCTTTACCCCTACAATCTAAAAGTTTTTCAATCATATGCCACATACATTTAAATTTCTTGTTTCAGATAGTTATTTTTTCCGTAATAGCTTAACTTTTCCACAGTCAATTTTATTTTTTATACTTTAAATTTTTTTGGCTTTACTGAAGTAGAATTGACCAATAGGAGTTGTACATATTGAAGGTATACAATTTGATGTTTTGATATGTGTATATTTTGTTTAATCATAATCAAGTTATTAAACATATCCATCA